CAGACGCTCAACCATCATTTGATGTACACTTGCTCATCATTCGACGTACACTCGCTCATCATTGGATGTACACTCGCTCATCATTAGATGTACACTCGCTCATCATTAGACGTACAATCGCTCATCATTAGATGTACACTCGCTTATCATTAGATGTACACTTGCTCATCATTGGATGTACAATCGCTCATCATTTGACATACACTTGCTCATCATTCAATGTACACTCGCTCATCATTCTCTGTTCAATTTGAACACTCGCTCATCATTCACTGTTCAACTTGAACAGCAAATGATGAGCAAGTGCACGTCAAATGATGGTTGAGCATCTGTTGAGCAAAGGTCATTCAATACAAGGAGAAATTTGGATTGCCCTTGTTTTGGGGAACATTTTGGTTTTCTTGAACACCCTTCTATCTTAATTACCAAACTTTTTACAGATCTTCAAAGTTTGGGGAAAATTTTACACATTGCAATATTTTGTACTAGTTTATGACAATTCTTCAGAGCTGAAACAGCAGAGAGAACTGCAATATTTGATTGCATAACACTGTGAACATCATGTTCAACTTTGATGATCTTGTGAACATAACACATCTATTCATTCTAGGCATTATAATTTTAGAAATATTTTGAAATGATTAGTCAAAAATATTGAACACATTACAATAATAATGCCTTTTGATTAATATATCTTTTCCTATTATCACTTGCCCCATTGTCAATCCATTCTGAATGCATTCACCAATGCCACTGAATATGGCTTCCCATTGTGAATGCATTGCCAACGCATTCTGCAATGCCACTGAAAACGGAATCAGCCCAAATTTCAAAATCCTGTTTTGAATATGCATTGGCAAGGTGCAGTCAACGCCAATTCCTGAATGCCTTTTTTGAAACCATTGGGAGAAGTTTGGAGAATGGCGTTGTCAACGCCTTGCCATCCCTTTCTCCCAATGTCAATAAACCAAAGGGCATTGGAGGCAATCAGCCCCATTCTGAAAACGGCACTGCAACGGCATTGTCAATGCCATTCTCAAAATGGTTGCTACCTCAACGCCCCCATTATTTGCTGGGTAGCTCAGCAGTTTACAACTGACACATCAGTCAAGAATTGTTCCTTTGGTCCTTTCTTCTTTTTTTCTCTACAATGAAAGCGCAATGATAATGTTTCAAAACATGTGTGTAATTTTTTGGCAAAGAGGAACATGGATATTGAATGGACCTGGGTCAATGTCAAGGCATGGAAAGGGTGAATAAATTTACTCCTCAAATGTTTTCTGTTTTCAGCCCTACTGAAAACGCAGAATATATAGGATGTTCGCATATCCTGCCCAAGCTTGCTACCAGTGGCAGCAAGTTTCAAGTGCAATGGAATGAATTTTCCCCCACGCTCTGCGTGTAACGACATTGTCCCTGTGAAAAGCAAGTGGACTCAATGACTATTGTAGGCACAGCAAGTGTTGAATTAAACAATTACCTGTATCCCCTTCCATAAATTGAACCCTGCCTTTTTGCGTAATTTTCTTGCGGCGTGAGTTCCCGTGGAGAAATAGAATGCAAGAATTTTTTTTCTTTCTCGGTCTAATGATCCCTGAGTCGGTTTTTTCCCGAAATCATCGGGGAATAAGCGGAGAATGCGCATTAGCTTGGTGAGTTGGCCAAAATGGGGTTAGAGGGAACCCGCTGTCACTTTTGCGGGGTTCAGGTGACCCAAGCAGGTCAACTGTGTTTGAAAGCCAGTGGGTGTGGCGTGTAACTTGATCACCTTTGCTTCACGTGCTTGTGAAACAAAGATCCAATCCGCTTTCCGCAGTTTGATCATGTATGGTTCCACAAAACCAAATTTTGGAGATAATGCTCGTCTGTGCATGGGTGCTCATGGCAAGGACAACCTTCATCCATGGCTGAACACTATTCCATCAACTGAAACTGGCGTGGATGAGTAAAGTTAGCATCTGAAATAATATGTGAATGGTTAGATTTAACTTTTGGGGAAATCCAGAGTTGAATCTAAAACTAATTTTTCATCTATATTGTTCATACAGACATGTCAATAGACAGTTCCAATGTTGGAATAGTTGTCATATCTGGTACCATGCACACAAAGCTAAGGTGCGTATACCCACCTGGAACTGCCTAAAATTTGTATAAAAATGTTCCCCGTAGTAAGACATCCCCCCCATTTTTAAAGACTACAATTTTGCAATTTTACTCTAGAAAATTGTTAAGTGCCTGTATCTGAATTAAACATTGTTCAAAGAACAGCGCATATTTTTTTTTAAAGCTGTGATTATCCTCATTGTGAATCATCCACATACAGGGACCCTTTATTGTCGGTGTCTCACTGTATTTTCAAGATTTGTTTTTTTTTGCGAGAAAATGCACTCCACAAGGCAATGAATAAGACGGCTGCATTTGCCTATATATTTACACTCCCCCAACGAGTGACGTAAATAAACAAAAGGAATAAATGAAATTCCGCTTTTGGTTTAGGGTTTTTCAATCCTTTCCTTTTGTTCCAAAACGCTCTGCTGCTGATTGTTGACGGCATTGCATTGGCATTAGGGGGATTTGTCAGGCAATAAAAACACTGATGCAATAAACCGCTGTTGTCTGATATTAAATAAACAATTCCAGATCAAATATATATAAAAGATATATTTTATTCACAACCGAATTTGTTCAAGACAAATATAACAAAAACAGACAAGTCTTAAGAGATGACAGCAATGAGCGCGCGACAAAGTAAAAGCAAGCGAATATATAGGTTCGGACGGTCAGTATTTTGCAAGCATGGTCAGACCCGGATCTGACCTCATTCGAGAGAGGGTTGCGTAACCCTCGGCGCATGACTTGGCGAGTCGGCACGCAGCAAGGGCGTGACGCGGCAAGAGACAACGCAGCTGCTCGGAGCGTCGTCTGCTAGGTTAAAAAGAACATCTGACTTATCATGACAACTCCATCTTCAAATTTTGGCAAGAAGGTGTACATGCTGGCACTTGTCATTTGCATGAATCAAGCACTGAACTATATCATGTCCAGATCTAGGTTTTAGTCCCAAAAGACATATCAGCAATCTTTAGCATTCAATTCAATGATATGGATAGAGCCTCTTTTCCCAATACTGTACAATATGATTTCCCCCTCCCTACACTCACATGAAGAGATTTCTTAACAATTCAGGCAAATACGTAGCCTTCAGACATTCTAAGAGAAATCAGATAAATTGCATACAGTATTTCAAAAATACTTAAATGCATGACTTGAAAGCAAATTTCCATTCGAGTTTTTGCAAACTTTAAAAATTATGCTTTGAATGAAATACTTTGTGTTCATAAGCACAAGACAGATGAATGAGGGTTCTACATTCAATATAATTTTGCACCGTGTGGATTCATCAGCAAGAAAGACAAAATAAGAGTACAGAATTACACTAATGCAGTTCTATATACTGTACAGTATAAACGTATCTACCAAATGATTGATTATCTGAACCTGATTTCAATCGCACATCTAATGTTTTTTGAATCACTGCGATGCCCAAAATGCAGACCCATCATCTTTGGAAATAAGTATAATTTGCGATCTTTCATAGACACAATCCAACGGCATATATGCAAGATCATCTTGCAATATTTAAAACTTAATTCATTTTTGTGCTAGGCAACACATGTACTCTGTGAAAATACTTTACATATAATCAAGTACCAATAAAACCTTCTTCTCATGAAAGAAACCTGTTAAAAAATATGTGCATAAAAAGCAATATCTGGTCTTCAGGAAAATTCCTATTTTCCAAGACCATTTTTGAATTTCACATTGACATCTTCCTGCTCCTGAGTCCTGGATGAAGATGGATGGAAAGACCAGGAATGACCAGTACTATAAAAGAGACAAACCAGCATGGAAACCACTTTGACAGCTAAAAGGTTTGAAATATTACTGTGTGCAGGTCTCAGAAGCAGGAGTAATTTCAAAACGATTTTCCAACACTATTCAGAAGCAGCTTTTCAATTCAAGGTGGGTCTGGAGATTTTACAAGAACCATTATGGTGGAATTCATACCAAATTACTCTTGGAATATTTGTTTCAGATAACTCAAGTGCAATAATTACAGTGTTTAACCTTTACATTCTGCAATTTAAACCAGCTCAAGTCCCCAGAAACGTTTTGAGGGTCCAAAGGAAATTTTCCTCAGCAAAATAAAAGTAAGCATGCTAAAAAGCACAATAAAATTTGTAGAAAGTAGCAATGAAGTCTGTTATCTTTATCTGAAATTCCAGAAACAATATGAGAGTTGAAATGATTTTTTGAAAGATAACAGTTGGATTTTCTCCTAATAGCCCTTTGGACACACTTTTGCCTGTTGGAATAAAGTATTCTTTTTTATTCTGAGAAACCTTCCTATACCAGCTTAACTTTTCAATTTTTTAAAACATTTCACAGAAGTTTCTTCTTAGCTATTTTTTTTAAAGCAGAAGCTTCTTATACACCTGACGTTAAGTCTTTCAAATTAAACTCTTCTGGGTTTGCAAACATTTTATGAAACTTTGCCAGTCCACAGAACAATTTTTGGAAATTTGGCAGTCTGCAAACTCTTTTTTAGAAATTTGCTGGTGTCCAGGCCCAAAAAGGGTTGCAGAACACTGATTCAAACCACATCAATATTTGCTGAAATGTTAAACAATACTCATTCTTTGAACTGAGTTCAGAAAACCAGTCCACTTATTTACTATATGCATGCATATTTTATTTTTACATTTGAACCTTTATTTCCCTGCCAAATTTTATTAGTGAAAACATTGGATTGTAGTTCACGCTTTTTCATTTGGTATTCTTTCATTAATAACGTTTCAATTCCACATTTTCCATCCCCAAAATTGTGCAATATTCAGGGTTTGACCTGTTGAATCTTTGGAAATTGGCAACTCATTGAAAAATAAGTGAGAATGTTCATGGGGGAGAATCATTCAGTTGATTGAACAATCCAAATTTACTCAAGAGTTTTCTCCCTTTTTTTTGAGAATGGGAACAAAGTTGGATTTCTTTTCACTTGCCTTGCAGCAAACGTCAGTGATTTCAAAAATCACTGGTTCGGCATCCACCAAAGCTTCGTGCTTGTACCGATTATCTGAAAAATTGTGATTGATTATGTACAGCATGTTATTTAAAAATGTATATCCGGCAAAAATTATTTCTGACCTGATTGGTGGTCATATTCCCCGATGTACCTTTTCGTCAGGAACCGGACAGTCAAAGCTGGACACGAAAATGAATACAGAGCAAAATGTTGTAATAAAAAAATTTGATTAAAAAGAATTAGCGAGAAAAGTGAATAGTGACCTGTTTTTCCCACGCCTGGAGCCCCGAAAACGACCAACTTGACCTCGGACAAGGTCGACTTTTTGCGTCTGATCCCTCGGATCCCAGTCGTCGTCATCACCTGAAAACTACAATCAGTTTTCTTCCAAACTGTGTTTTTTTTTTATCGCTAGAAGTCACCGAATACTGTAAGTGTCATTCTTCTGTCACTTATTAGTGTCAAAAAGTCACAACCGAAATTTCACCTGCAAAAAATCGCAATGATTTAACTTTTTGTGGGTCATGACACAAATTTTTTTTGGAAATTGAGAATTTCTTCAAAATCCTTGATCCTGGATTTTTTTTTCTTCAGCCAAAATGGTCCTTCTTGGTTCATTTGTGCATGAATATCATTAATTTGAATGCAGAAATGATCAGCAGAACAATAAGGATGATTTAATTTGGCAATGTTCACATTTGCATGGCAATGGGATGACTTGTAAATCACACTTGAACCAAAATGAGACACGACATACTTTCTATATAGTGCCATTCCAACATGCTTTTCATAAATCCACCAGCACTTGCAAAAGAGTGATAAACTTTCTTCAAAGTGAGCATTTTACAAAAGAAAAAGATATAAAACCCTGAACCTCTTGCTCACCAATTGAAAGCAGTTCAAGTGTGAGACTGATGCTCTTTCTTTCACCCCTGAGATGAGAGAGATGGAGTGGAAGAAAAAAAGTGTGTGTGTGTGAGCACCCTCTCTTGTTCTTTGCACCTTCACTAACACATGCATCTCCTCCCAATGAGGAGCAGCATCCAACTTTTTCCTTTCTCACCTGCCCTGAAAAATAAAATAGAAGCAGGATTTCAAGCCCAGAAACTGGGAGGGATGGTCTGAAAAACCCCAGGAATACACATACCAGAGCCTCACCTGCACTCCCACACAAGCACAAGAGCTCTGTTGGCCATTGATCACATGATGGGAAGCTCTTCCTTGGAAAAATTTTGTTAGAACAAAATAGTGCAATCTTCCAAACAGGATATCACAAATGAAAAATATCCTCAGCAAAAACCATTTGTGACTTGAAATTTGGCTGCTGTTTACTTCAAAAAATATATGAACCCCTCTCATAAATGAATCACTTGATGGCTATCTCATCTTTCTTCATGGAGAATGCTTGAACCACTTTAAAAACTGAGTCAAAGAAAGTCAACAAATAGAATATTCACATCCATTCATTCAAATTAATGAGAAGTCATCGAATAGATTGGACAAGTATAAATTGAAGCAGTCCCACAATAATTTGTGGAAGCATTGACAATGAACAGTTCACTTCTCACTTTATTTGATTTTGGGAGCAACTTTTCATGATTTTAAAGATTTATTATACTTACAGAAAAAAATTCATGACTTGTTCTTCATCACCCTCAAAATGAAACCTGAATTACAGTTGCAAACCTTTGCATTGAGATGATCATTAAGTATACCAGGCTATGCCACATTGTGCCATATTATTAAAGACATGTGAAGGTAGTCTCACAAAATAAATCCAGAACAAACGTGATATGTTTTCATTAACACATTTCGAAATCACTAAAACATTTCAAAGAACAGTTGTTTATGTATAAAAGTTCTGCATCATGGATAAGGTCAGACTAGAAAATTAAAGACAAAATTCTCCAAATAACATTAAACCTTGCTTGGTTTTCTGGATCTGGAATTGAAACATGTTGGATGGAACAACATAGATTCAATATTTATTTAATTTGTCAGAGTTAATTGTTGTCCAGCACAAAGTTCAACCTTGAAAATATGCAAGGGGTTTTTAAAAGTTGATCCATTTTTTTATCACATTATTTTTTTCCCATTCTTATAGTCCCCTTTCTTCCTAATCTTGTTTGTTTAAGCTATACAGGTTGAATTCCTCTATGATATAATTCAAGGGGGCAGGAAAAATATTTGTGTAGAGAGCAATTTTTGTAAATAATCCTTATAACATGATGAGAAGAGAACCCTGTATATGCCTGTGACACAAAGAAAAGTGTTATGCTGGTGAAATCTCTCCACAGTGATCTTGTGTACAATGTTTTTTCTGTACTCCAAATTACCAGTCTGATCCCATGCATTTTTTCCACCCCTTCCCATATGCTATAGAAGTTCTCTACAACAATGTTCCTCAAACTTTTTGGGTATACCCGGACTGGTAAATTTCCATAAAATGTTTGGCAGACCAGCAAATTACCAACACATTTTTTTTTTCGACCAGCAAAGTTTCATACAATTTTTGCTGACTCTCAGAAGTTTTGCTTGGAAGATTTTATGGCAGGAATTTAAAAGTTTGTGCTACTTTTCAAAAATTGAATCAAGCACCACCAAAGCAACCACATAGCAGAATGCCATAAAAAGAAAAAAAGTTGAACTTGAAGAAAGGATTCTCAGAATGAAAAAAATAAAAATTCGATTTCAGCAGAAGACAATTTGTTTGAAGTGTTATTAAGAGAACAGCCAACTTTAATTTTTCATCAGATGATTGCAAAGCTGTCATTATTCTGCCAAAATTTTAGGTAAAATTAACTGACTTCATCCCTATTTTTGAATAATGATTGTGCTGAAAATTTCCCATGGACCAGCAAAAGAATTTCTGTGGCCAAGCGCTGGTCCATGGACCATATGGGTTGGGGAACACTGCTCTACAACATCATTTCCCTGCTGGTCCCTTGAATTTGTTATAGGGAGAGAGTCCCCTAGCACTGATGAGAAAAAGTTTGCAGACAAGATCTTTCTTTGTGGAGCAAGTCCACCTGTGTTACTGCAAAGGTGGAAGCTCTTTCTACAAAAAAACACACAGGACCAAAAACAATCCTTTTAGAGATCATTTCCTTGCAGAGAACCCCTATAACATAGGGAGAGAACCCTATATGGAACTGCATGAAAATCCAATAAATAATGGGACAATGGTTGTAGGAAGAGTTCCATTAATAAAAACGCTGAAATCTTATCAAGATAAACTTCTATGATTTCTCATCAAAGATTCTCTCTAAATTGTTCATTCAACTAAACCTCATACAGAAACA